AGTATTTTATTGAATCGCAATGGAACATCTAGGACATTAGTATCTGCCCAAGCTGATAGTTTTCTTCTTTAGATTCATGACCAGAATAGCAAACTGGTGTCAAACATCACAGAACATTTGGATGCCTCCGTTAATAAGCAACTGGGACCTTTTTTAGGAGCCAGGTAAGACTGAGCTGCCAGGTAAGAAGTGAAGGTATTATCTTATTACCATCAACTATTACTACTGGTACTAAACTGAAAAAGAAAATGCATTATCTGGTCACTGTTTTGAGTTGACTTTAGGAAGTCACAAGGATGGGGTAAAAGTCACATCAGTGCACTGCAAGAGATACAAATATTTGTGTATAGGTTCGTTACTTAATGTACATGTTCTCCAGAGTAAACAGCACCTCAATTTTTCTAGCAATAAAAAATTTCAAGAAAGGAATGGAAAAAAATAGCAAATTTTATTCTCCCCTCCCTCTTCTCATGCTTTCCATCTTTATTCTCTTTCGAAGTCTAATTTTTCCTCTTTTCATGTTGTTACTGGAAAAGAGAGAAAGAAGGAAAAGCAAACACGAAAGAAATAAAGCAAAAATTAAACTGTATTCCTGCACTTGGGGACACCACAATGCTTTGGGGCTTTAAAAAACAATTTTCATTCAGTGAGGAACTGAATTCAATTTTAATCTGGTGAAAACTGAATTTCCTGGTATCTCTCATGCAGGTATAATGCTTTGCAGTAAGGATTCAATCAAACAGGAGGGGAAAAAAAATTTAAAAAAAAAAAAAGGCCGCTGCAGTACGAGTTGTTTCCTGGCAGCTCCCCAAGACTACTGGAGTGCCTGCAAAAAGCTGCTGACCACCAAAGGGACTCTACCAGCTCTCACTGCACTTGTCTTTCAGCTCTCATATCTCTGAAACTCTCCTGAGTGCAGTCCAAATCACAAAAACTAAATTTGAACCTCCGCTTCCTCAGCAGAATAAACTAAAAATGTAGGGAAATCACTGAAAAGCTAATAGAAAATTAAACGCTATTGACATTCTTCAATTTATAAAATAAAAACATATACTTTCTACTTGGGTATTCCCTTTTCAAAGAGAGAAAAATAGGCCAAGCCCAGCATGGAGCACAGCTCAACCAACACCCACGGCTGGCAGCAGAATAAACCTGCCCCAGTAGCAAGGCTGCTGAGTTAAGAGAGTGATGAGCCCCTCAACTCCTGCTTTCCAGCTCCATTTTCTCTTACCTCGGGATGCCCATCGTTCTGTCCACAGTAATGTGGGCAGCAAATGGAAGACCAAAAGAAGAAGGCATTGGCCAGAAACCTTGGTCCCCAGCAAGTGCCTCAAAGCCCATGGTGCCCCTGTAAAGTTTCCAAGCCTCCTGGAGATCTGATTGCAGGATACAGTTTTTAGGAAAACTATCCCTTTCTATTGTTCTATTAGTAGCATCAGGAACACCATGGTGGTATCGGCCAGAAAATAAGCAGAGCTTTAGAATCTGCTTAGAAGAGGTTTAAGATTAGTTTTTCTAATTATACAGAGTTTAACTGTGCTCTCAAGATTTTTAAGAGTACACAGCTCCCTATAACAGGCTTTTTCAACCATGTGGCCTAATCAAACCACAGGTGACAGACATTGAACCTCCATGAAGGTGCTGTCCCCTTTTTCTGTAGCCAGCAATTTTGGCAAACCCCAAATAAAGGCTAATCTAACCTTTCTGAAAGATCGCCATTTATATTCTTAAAGAAGCATCAATTCCAGTGGCACAGGCAAATGCCTGCTCTCTCATGATAAGAATTTCCAACCATCCTAAAAGAAGAGCGAGCAGAAGTTGATTTTTGCCTGAAGACCTTTTGCAAAGGAAAAAGCCTAACTTGAATCAGAGTCTGTCTCTCCCTGTAGCTCTCCCAGTGCCATGGCTGCAGCACCAGCAGAAAGGCCAAGCACGGTGGAGTGCTACAGCAGCAATGTTGCCCAAAGCACTGCTCCTCTGCATGGGTCTCCCTTCTTCTCTAAGGGAGCTGCTATTGAATTCACCTGACCCAAAGACAAACTGTTTGGTTCACTTTCTTTCTGCCTCTTCTAATGCAACAATTTGTGGAGGAAGCTGTAATCAGCCTGATTCAAGCCTACCATGAGATCTCGAGCGTACAATCTCCTCTGCCCCAGAGAAAATCCCAAATCACACTGCTGAGAACAACCAGATGCCTTCTCAGAGAGGCACAGCAAACCTGAGGGAATGACTCAATAGCTTAGCTCACACTGCAGATGAATTCATTTAATCCTCTTGCTTAACACAAGAAACAGCAAACCCTGTGCAAAAGTAGAGCATTAATCAGTAATTTCTTGAACAGGCCTGAAAACAACAATCTGCTGAGTAAAATGATGTAGCATGCCGAGGGTTAATGCCATTTAGGAGAGGATACAGTGAAAGCCTTTGGAGGAGTTAGCTTAGTAATTATAGTGCAAAACCCAAGTTGGGTGACAGCCAGCAGTGCAGCCAGCGGACATGTCACTGCCACCCCTTGGGTCACCTACTGGGAAAATATCTTTATGCTTATGAATATGGTAAGATAAAACCCAGGGCAGGCCTGAGGTCTTGACTGTTCCCAGATATTAGAGTTGGAGGAGAGGAGGAAGTACTACTTTTGAAGTGTTTTCTTGATCCACATTAAAGCCTCTCATTTTAATGTTTATTCACTGATTAATAAGAACCAGTGAATAGAGAAATCATACCTTGAAAAAAAATTTAAAAAAAAAATTGTAGTGGTTCTGGGTAACTGGCCGTTTGCGTCTTTTAAAAGCAGAGAACTGAATTTCTGGGAAATATGGAAAGATGGAAGGATGGAAATATCATCACCCTCTCTCTCAAGAGCTGGTGCCGGTCTGGCGGTGGCAGCAGGCAGCGAGCTGCCTCTCCGCAGCGGGCACTGCTGGCTGCGGCGGGGCCACCAGGGCTGGGGGTGACCCCCGGACGGGGGGGTCCGGGAGGGGCACCCCGCCTCTGCCAGCCCCCCGCCCCCGCCACGCCGAGCCGCCGACAGGTGGCGCTCTTGCGCCGCGGGCAGCGGAGCGCGCGTCTGCCCTTCCAGAACCCTCAAAAAACGGCACTCGCCAAGGGGAAAAAAAAACCTTAAAAAAAAGTTTACCTTTTTAAACGAAAGACTAAGTACTCTTAGTAAAAACTAACAGTTTTGTTTTTAGAAAAACGACGCCAGAGCCGTGGATGGCAGCCCGCTCTGCCCGGCACAGGTCAGCCCTGACCTTAGGCTCCAATGGTTAGAGGAAGATGGGAGGCTTTTCCTGCTCAAGCCAGTCCACCTAGCAAGGAGGGGCTGCAAACTCAGCGCTTGCAGAGGCAAGGTTTGGGGTTTTTCCTCTTTTTTTTTTTTGGCAGCAAAAAGGACCAGAAAATTATTTTGACCAAGACTATGAGGATACAGGAGGCTCAGGTTGCCAGCTCGAAGCCTGGCAGGTATCACCCCACCAAATTGCAGACAGGAGCTTGTCCTGGCCCGGTCTTCTGGCATGAAGAGCTGCAATATTTTTAAAAAGCACTTTGTAAGATGACCCCCCAATACACACAGCCCCCCTGCTGCTGACTGCTTCTGAACCATTTAAAGGCAAACTGGATGCTTGCATCCCTTTGTCCACTTCAAATAGAGCCCTGCATGTTTATGCACACGCTGGGTGGGGTGCACACGGTGGGTTTGGGGTGCAGCTGGCAGCAGCTCCATCCCAAAAGTGCCCGGAGCTGGACTGCTGTGACAGCACAGTGCTACCGAACCCTGAGGTGGGACCTGCATGTTCGCACAGAGGATGAACAAGCAGGACGAGTGAAACGTGTGTGGGTCATGCTGACAGCCTGTCCCACACCCCCAGTACCTTCCCAGTTCGAGCGGGGAATAAACACAAACACCCGCTTGCAACACTACACACCCAGCAGAACACACCTTTTCAGGGGGACCCTTTACATCAATCTACAATAAAAAATAATAAAAAAGGAAGATACTATTTAAAGAGCAGGTTCTGACATTGAGGTTCTAGCAGTGACCTGACCAAGAAGGGAAGGATCTTGCCTCCATCTTCAGTGGCTGCTTCAGAGAAGGCAGTAAGAGAGCTGGCAGTTGGGAAGCCATGGGCTTACATGGGAGCCTCCCTCCTGACCCACTGCTGGAGGCCAGCTGAGCCTTGGCACTGCGGCATTCACCCTCACCAGTCTCATTCCTAGGTCTACCAGGCTCTTCCCAACTCCGCAGGGGCTACAGCTGTAGCACAGAGCCCTGCTGTGCTCCACGTGCAAAGGCTGCTCTGCAGTCAGGGATGAATCCAGCCCTTGCCAAGGCACGGCTCTGCCAGCCTCGAAATAGCAAGGCCCTCCCGAAAAACCTCTGTCCTCCTTCAAAAAAAGCACTCTCTCCGGCACCCAGCTCGTTTCTCTCATCTCTGATGTGACAGCCCCTACAGCCAGGCAGCGCAGTGTTCCACGCTCTACAGCAGAACAGGAGCCAGTTGCTTGGGGTGGGGTTCCCAGTTCTGTGGCTGCTTGGTCCCTTTACCAGACCTAGCAAACCCCCCTGCTTTACAGCAGTAGCGAGAGTGGTAAATTTAAGAGAGTTGTAGCACACCAAGCAGATACGGGCATTATTTCTACTCCATGTCTCCCAGTGCCAGGCACACACTACTTTAAAAAATCCCTTAAAAACGGCTGCTTCAAAACAACCTCTATACATCAACGGCCCTAGAGACAATACGCCATGAAATGCCCTTACAAAACGAATCCTTACATTTCAGCCTAGCGGAGCATCCGAGCGCACAGCAAAGCCAAGACAAACACAGCGCTGCTCTCTCCTGAAAACCTATGTGGTCTGAAAGATCTCCGTTGTTGCTCCATCCCGGAAAATGATTCATCCTCCCCTCGGGGTTCTGACTTGCCTCTGCACATTTCCCAACGCTGCCTGGCTTTATAAGAGCGTGGTTGCACGCGGCGACTCCTAGCAGATTTCTCGGCTCGGTTGCGAGCGAGGCGGCGGTGGCTAATCCTTCTAACGATGATTTTCCTCTTGCAGCATTTCATCTTTCTGGCCATAGACTTATTACTCGCAACAACCCTTTCCTGCCTCTTTTATGCCTTTATATGCATTTCCATTGCATTTTTGACCTGCTTCATTATCATCTTCTCTTTCGGCATTGTGGAGAGGAACATTGATGTGAAAGGGAAAGCAATTGTAGTTCTCGTGTCCAACAGCTCCATTGGGAGGATGTTTGCAAGGAACCTGGATAAAGCAGGTTTCAGGGTGTCTGCTGCACACTGGCCTCCTCGAGAGGAGGGGACAGCTACAGAAGAAGAGTGCTTTTCAAGCACGGAGGTAGCCCAGCTCCACATGACTGAAGATGAGTATCAGAAGACAATGAAAACCTTCATAGAAAGCCACTTATCCCTGAAAGGTAATTCTTAGGGCAAAATTGTGGATTGTGCCTATGCTAGAAATCAAAATGCACAAGATTGTGAGATCGTTGTAGTTCATCAGCAAATGAGGGATGGCATGAATGTTTTAAGAAATGGGTTATAACAGTCTAACTGCATTGCATTTTGTTGTGCAAAACAAAAATTTTGCTTTTTCCAGGGGAAAGAGCCTCCTCTGGTGGCTCTGAAAGGCCCCAGTAGACCCGAGTCCCTGGAGGAAGGCAAGACAGGCCAAGGAGTGAGGGGGAAAAGGTCCACGCCAAGGCACAGAGGGCTGGACTTACCCTGGGGAGAAAACACATGGGTGAACAGAGGGGAGCAGAGACTTGGGACAGTGACCCGAGATAAAGGAATGTGTCTGACTTTTAACCTCTTCTGGATCAGAAAAACTGAGGTCCCTCTTGGCTTCTTGCTTGCTGTGGGATTCATAAGAAAGAGTCAAGTCAGAGCTTTGGCTGGCAGGTTGGGACTGTCTCTCTGAACCACACCACTGTCATTTCTGTGGGGATACGGGACTGAAAGCAACCTGCAGAGCTCACCTGGGACAGCATGAGGCAAGTGTCCTACTGAGGGAGTGGTGTAAGCACTTCTGCTGAGGAATCTCTCTGGCTCTTTCTAGGTGAGAGATGAAGGGTGCCAACGGGCAGGCTGGCTTATGCCCCAGCTGAATTAGCTCTGCTATCCAGGAGTCTGTCCTCACAGCCATAATTTTACACCTCTTGGGAGTGACAGAAAATTCAGGGCTGTAACCCCACTGCCCGCAGGGCTACAGGGTTACAAGAGAAGAGGCCAACTCTCTCCTCCGCTGTGAGCCTACTTAAGTCACATATGAGCAGCAAAGCTCTCTGCTTCCCCATACTGCCTCCTTACTTCTCCAGCTTCTCCATCCCTCTCCTCCTTGCTCTTCCTCTGAGGCTCCCTTTGAGGCCTCCCCAGGAGATGAGATCTCTAAGAGATCCACCTCTCGCCATGACAAATAACGAGACCCTTTGCATTGCTGCCCAGCACTGAAAGTTTTCTTTGTGCTCCCAGGCTCTGCAGAAGAAGGACATTTGGGAAGTCAGAGCACGCACCATGGAGCCTCCCCTACCGCAGACACCCTTCAAAGAGGCGGTAGGGAACCCTAGCCAATACCTGCTGCTGGCTGCAGCTATTCAGGACCCAATGGCACAGGTTATCTCACATCGCTTTTCTCCTCAGAAGCATCCCACAGGCCAGAAGTGCCTGCAGTCAGATGCTGTGTGACTCTGCATGGCCCAGGATACATCCCCCTGCTCACTAGCAGTCTGCAGGCTCCTGGAACAGGTGCCCTGCACACCAACAGATGGTTTCAGACCAAACGCTCAGCTACCTGCATGAGCATTTAGGCTAATTTACCCTAGTAAAATTGTTCTGGTGAAACTTGCCTGCGTGGACAAGGCCTAAAAGCTCACAAAGCTGAGTATCAGCATACTCTGCTCTGGAAACAAACAATGGAGACTTTCTTAACCAGTAATGCTCCGTGGGAGCTGGTGATTCCTGTGGGCTGTTGCTCTTCAATTAAATGGGGATCTGGCCCAGTGATATCTGTCTTTTTTGCTTTTGAGTATTTTGATGACTTGTGCTAGTTAAGGACTTTTGTAGTTCTTTGGGCTTTTTTGTTTGTTTGCTTGTTTTTTGACAGGGTACTCTATTGTAAGATCTGTAAGGTTTTACATTTAGGATCTCCTGCACAGTATTCGCATCACAGATGGGGATGTTAAAATGTATTTCCCGAGCACTGACCCAATTGCATGGCAGATCAAAGCACTGGGGGGGTGTGTGCGGTGTGTGGCTGTGAGAGAAAAAGAAAAAAACCAAACCTCAGTTTTCTTGGATTTCTTTGTTAACAGTTTCGAGTGAGTGCTGGTATTTATTCTGCAAGATTTGCTGACATATTTTTGGCATGGGTTAGGTGACCATGAACACCCACCGCCACCTGACTGATAATAAAACAATCTAAACCAAAAGACTACATTGGTCAGTCCCCACATGCAACATGCAGTTTGGTCAGCAGGATCAGAACAAGGAGATGAGAAAAGAGTTTGTGCTGCAGGGACAAGACACAGCAGAACCATTATAAAACTTTCTCCATTTAAAAATTTCTCTTATGCACTTTATGTGTATGCAATTCTTGGTTTCGAAAGAAAGGAACTTCTGTGCTAGTTTTTCTTAATTTTTTTTTTGTTAACTTGTCCCCATAGGAAATTTTTACCATTCTATCTTTGCTACTGTAAGTAAAAAGATGCTTGTTCAAAACACAGCCTTTGAAAGGCATCCTAAATGTCTTTCAAAGTAACACAATGAAGACAGAACTCCCTAGTCACAGTTCCTTCTAGAATTAAAAGACTTATGACAAATCACCTATTTTTTATTCTAGTACACGCCAAGAGATTTTGGCTAACGCCTTTATTTTGCAGTGGTAGTACAAGTGAGTAAGGAGCTATTAGGTCTAAAGAGATTGTAACATAAAGATGCAGAGAAATGCAAGTCAGACCCTTTCCAAAATCCTAATCTGTTTTGTGATAGCTTAACTTAATTCATGAAAAGTCTTGGGTTCTTCTCGCTTATAGTGTCTTTAGATCAGATGTTTAAGTTTTCTCTGTGACGAGGAGGTCAAAGAGATAGGGGAGAAAAAGAGGAGAGAAGGAGTCTTAATTGCTCACCTCCTGTAGCTGAGCTTGTACTATCAAACATCGCAAGAGCTCTTGGCATCGTGTCCAAGTGCTCTGGGATGGAGCTGCTTGAGAAATTGCTGCACCGTATTGCTCTTTGGGCACGTTGCCTGGAAATGATAACAATTGCTTCGTGATTTTCAGGATTGACTGCAGGGAGGGTGGGGCAGGGCAAGGAGGAAAAAAATGTGGAGATGGGCAAGACCCAACAGACAGCAACCTGACCTGACCCAAGAAGAGTTCAGACAACTGGAGTTCCAGCCTGATTAATTGCTGTACCCTCTGTTGCCACAGTAACTTGGGGTTCACCTAATCACACACACAAGCACAACACACAAGACACAAGGCTAAGTGGAAGCAGTATTTACTGTGCCATGCCCGAAGACTGGCTGCTTTGGGCTTGGCCAAGAAGAGCAAGCACCAAAAAGCTGTCAAGTGACCCTGCCCTGACAGCCTACGCAGAGTTCAGCTCCCTGAATTAAACCACCAGGACAAGACAGAACAGAGAAACCACTGTTTCACATCTAGTCTCAGCCTACTTATGGTTTAGAGATTATTCCAACTGTATTTTTTCTTTGGCTGCACCCAGAACACTTCCAGTGTCCTGAGAGATCCCGCCTTCTCCTTTTGGTGTCTTTAACATTCCTCAGGTCTTTCTGCACACCAGGCTGAGCTTCGCCAAACTTTATAATATCTGTGAGTCTGTAGATCACCATTGAAGTACATATAGCAGCCACAATGGCAGAGCACTTGGGGGACCTGCCACCCTTCCTTCCTACCCTTACTCCAGGGACAACTCAAAGTTGCCTTCACACTACCCTGACAAGATTTTTCTTCACTCTTTCTCTCCCACTCCTTGCAGTATTTCATACTGTGCTATCAACCATCACTTCATCCCAGTTATTTCCACCTACTTTCCCTTTCCTTGTTTTTCTTCCATTCCTCTGTGATGCCTCAGGTCTCTGCAGGGCAGAGGATACTTGATGTGAGCAAAGCCTCTGGCTGCACTGCACAGCCTCCTGCTGTTCATTCAGATCTCTACCATGCTGAAGTTGCTTGGAGTAGTCCTGTTGATTTTCATACAGTCAGGATTTCATTCTTAGCTGAATCTCAGCTAAGACATGATCACTGGTAAATTCTTTAGTACTGTATCAGCTTCCCTCTGTCCCTATCTGTTAAGTCAGAAGGACAATGCTTTTTCACAAGCAGAGGAATAACTGATGCAAATTAATAATGTGAATTCCTAAATAATCTCAAGTTCCATACCTGAAAGACTCTTTCTCACCCTACCCTTCACCATGGTGTTTCAGACCAGTGGGAAGTGCTTGTTCTCTCCAAAAGCTCTGGAGAAAGCTCCCCATGCAAACAACTAGACCAGTGGGGGATAATGGACTGCCATCCTTGGCCATCTGTTCTCATCCCCATGATGCTGCTGGCAGAATAGGTCTTACGACCTCTTCCTAAGTCAGTCCAGGCAACCTTAGATCATTCAATCAATTTAAATAGGTGAGTTTAGTTAAGCTAGCTGATTACTGTCTTCTATACATCAGGGATGCTCACATAATCTCTTCTTTGAGCAGAGCTGTGAGGGAAGTAACACCAGCAGTGGCAAGTATAGCTAATCCTGGGCAAGGATGGGTACACACAGCTGCAGTCACTTGCTCAGGGCTGTGTACCGAGAGGCTGGCAGAACTAGAGAGTACGCTGAAGCATCAAGGCTTTTAGCAGTCCCATAGCCCCTTGGACAGTCTCCACCTCTTCTAAAGGTCAAGCTGTTTTTCCAGTTCTGTTCTGTAGTAGGTAGCAGTGACAGATGCTCTCCTGGTGCTCTCATTTGCCTTGCACCTCCCCCTCAACATCCACCTACTTTGGTTAGTCATGCAGTTGAGTCCATGGAGGGACTCTTGTGACTGAGATCCAGAAAGCAAGGCCTTATGGTGCTTACGGTGGGCACGAAAGGAGACAGACATTTGAACTGCTCCCTTGTGCAGTGGAAGCCCTGTAGAAATTCTTTTACTTCCTAGGAATGCCAATGTGGTCAAATTATTTTATTAGGAAGTACCCCTTCCTCATTAACTTTTCCATGCTACAGTCGCCCCAAGATAAAAGGCTAGGCCATACAGTCATTCCTAAACTCACAGCAGAGCAAAAGGTCAGCTTTCTTTTGCAATGGAATAGCTTAGTGCATGGCATGTGCAAGGAAGAGCCGCAATAACCTGCCATTCCCACTCACTTCAGAGTCGGATTGAACAGATGTGATGATCATTGGCTGCAATAAACTACAAGGGAGTAGGAAGTATGAATGAATAAAGCAAATGAAATCATATAGTCATGCAATTTTAAAGAGTGCTGCATTATTTAACTTCACTCGGCTACAACAACTGCAGGCCACCTTGGATAAATCAGGGCATTTTCCAGGCTGCAAGTGACTACGCTTGGAGTTATGAGTCAAATGATTAATTTTCGTAGCTATGCTTTTGTGCCTTTAATATAGGTTATCCAGAAATCTTTGAAAAACAGGCTTGCAACTATACTGCCTTCCTATCTCTTGGGGATTCATCAAAACTAGAGAAGCACTTTGATACAGCATCCATCAGGCCTATGTAACAGCTCAGACAGAGAAAACAGATCTCTTTCCGAAACTATAGGTTGGGAGGAGCTATTTATTTTAGGATGAAGAGGAGTTTCCCATTCAAAGCTGCTTTTTTTGAAAATAAGAATCTAGGCATCATCTGTAGTGGGAGGTGTCCCTGCCCATGGCAGGGCGGTTGGAACTCGACAATCCTCGAGGTCCCTTCCAACCCTAACCATTCTATGATTCTATAGTCAGTGTGTTGGCTTGCTTTCTTTTCCCGAAAGAAGCTATGCATCACTATCTCTGGACATTTTATGGGAGGCCAGTTTTCACTTCCCTGAAGTGCTTTTGCAATTCTCTTCTTTCAACAGACAACTTCTCTGCCAAGAGCCTAGCAGCCTGGACGTACACATAAAAACACATGATTAAAGAGTTACACAATCCAGAAAAGCTGCAGCAACACTTCTCCGCCTCCATCCCCATCCCTCGCTCATCGCCAGCGGGCAGAGCCTGTTGGGGTTCAAAACCTCCACCCCCCACATCAGATTGCTGCTGCCGGACCGAGGGGAAAGGCTGAGGGCTGGAAGGGGCTGGCACTTCAGATCCTGGGCAGAGTCCTCAGGACTCCCCGGGATCATGGTTTTCAGTCTCGGCAGGGCTCAGTCCCGTCAGTTAGCCTGACCTGTGTTTTATAGGCCAGAGAACTTCATTAAGATTTCAAAAGAACAAACCAGGCATCCAGGCGTGTGGAAATACGTGGGCAGGGAAAGCGGGAGCCGAGCTGTGAGCAGTGAGTGGGGTTTGTTGTAAAATGCAGTAGGTACCTGCGAGCCCCGCTGTGCACAGCAGCGCTGTGTTTAGCTGTTTGTTGCTGGCTGGAGGGTTTCCGTTTGCAAACCAAGATCTCTGAGCAATAATTAAAAATGCATATTGGTCTGTCATATATAAAAGTGGGTTATTTTATTTGCATGCCTTCAGAACATGTTGCCATGCCCACCACTAATACCAGCCACGCACATAATATTATGGAAAGAGAAGGGGGTGAAAGAGCCATATGCTGCCATCACCTTTTTTAGCTTTCTCCCAAATCTTATATTTGGAGATGACAGGAACAAACATGGATCATTTCTTCAAAAAACCCTCAAAATCAAAACCCAAGTAGTTAGATACTTTTGTTATACTGGCTCCTTAATTTTCCCAGAAGCATTCTTTACCATCGTAAAGCAATACCCTCCTCACACTGACACCGCTTATCAGCTCCTATGAATTTTACTCCCATGGTGTAAGTTTATCTTACAACAAACTCCAGACAAGAGTTTTGTTTCCAAGATTCATCAATCATTAAACCACACAAGACTGACGAGTATTTTTAGAGATCACCAGAAAGATATCTCTATTTATGACATGTTGTTCTTGAAACAAACAATCAACGCATTTTCATGCAGTTGCAGTGGCAGGATTAGAGATGCAAGGTAAAATAAAAAACAAATTATCTGGGAAACTATGTATCACTTATGTATGATGCTAAACTCATCTCTGATCCTGTAAGTCATTGGAGATATTTCACAGATGCGACATAACCTTTAAGCTAATTTTTAAAAGGTCTTAAACAAGAGCTTAACTTTGCACCAATTTAGAAATATTGACTTTCACTAGCTAGAATTGGACAATTTCCAAGCAGAAAAATATTTCTGAAATACACCAGGATTAGAGCCCGCAGAGTTCTACAAATTTATTTCTCCCTTAGAAATAATGATGTTTGTCAGAAAGAATATTGGGGGTGTTTGTGTGTACCTGCATATTTTTTTTTTTTCACTCCATCCCTCATCCCAAGCCTTCAGGAAAATTTTCCAAAGGACAATTTTAACAGGGAAAGGGAACCAACTGAAAGAAAAGCTTTCTGAAACTCTGGTTTCCCTTGTTACAGTGGTTAGAGATGGAAACTTTCTGAACAGTTCCAAGACATATACTTAGAGACTTAAATTATGTAGTAAGACTGAACATACATAAAAAATGGAATACTTCTGTATATGATAGCTAATACTTCCTTGATACATACAAATAAATTACCTGTTTTATTACAGAACTTCTGAATAGATTTATTTATTTTAAATCTACTCTCTTTAAATTCCCCATCCAACTGAAACTGTTTTCCCAATGCTTACTATGCTGCGAACTCCCAGATAATACAGAATTGCTGTGGCATTTTCAGTAGGAAAGGGTGGGCAGGAACAAACTGTCTACGGAGTTCTCTTTACTGCAGGACAGCAGACTTGGCTGGGCCTGTGGTCAGCTCAGCCCCAGGAGCTTTGTTTCGGCACCAAACTGTTCTTCTGGTTCCCTGGGGTGGCTCTGGGAGGAAATGTCTGGCAGGTACAGCCTGTGGTACTAAATCTTTTTAAAATCGCAGCACAGAGCCAAATTTCACCCCAGTGTAGCTTGACTTGGTAACAGTGTCTTCAAAAAAACTTGCATGACTGCAGATCAGACAACAATCTGCCACCAGTAGTTGAAACACCACCCCAAAAAAGAAAAAACAAAAAAACCCAACCAAAAAAGCCCCATCAAAAAACCCAAACCTGTTTTACAGGTCTATTGAATTATAAACACATACAGTGAAAGCCTCTTAGACTCAGCGCTTTGTTATAGATAGTCAAATGATTTGTTATGAAGAAATTGGCCAAAAACCAGAGCCTTCTTTCTGTTCTTGGGTGGCTTTCCCTAGTTTCTGGGACTGCTTTTATTATTATTAAGTATTCACTGCTATAGTTTGGTCAAATGGTTTGAAACCTGTGAGATGTCTGATATGAAATTATCCAGCAAGCAGCTGTGCCAGGTAGTATTCATTTCTAACCCAGACTTGATGGAGGTAACTTTCTAAAACAACAGATTGATGAATAGTTATTTTCAATAATAAATAGGAATTGTATTTCCTCATGTAAAACATCTGTCAGAGAACCATTCCCAGTGGTTAAAACAGACATTTATGCCTATCTGTCTAACTGGCTTGACACCCAACTGCTTTCCTCATTTCCCCATAGGCCTTCCCCTATAGGTCTCGGTGCTCTTGTTTAAGTTCCATTTTGCCTTATTCTAAAGATGGAAACACAATGTCCACACCGCACAAGTCCATTGAAGCCTTGGAGCTGTGCCCAAATATAATAGCCCAGAAAGTTTTGATTTTTCGAGCCCCTGCAAATCCATTCTGTAATTGAAGTGCCCTTTTACTGCAAAAGCCAAAGTGCCTGTTCTCCATTATGGCCTTGTTTCCCCCCCTCCCATTTTAAGTGGTCATCATTAAATTAATTGAGATGTCATCAGTATAAAGCTAATACTCCTTTCGGGTTACTTGCCTTCCACTCCTTCCCTCTGGCCACCTTTGTGGTTTTGTATTTACATACATTAAAAATGGATTTTCTCTCTTTTCTTGCTACCTGAGAGTCACACAGAATCAGGAAAGCTTTTAGTTCTCAGAGATCTGAATTTCAATCCTGCTTTCAATTTATGGAGACCAATAAGTGAACACACTGATGGAAAATTCCCAAGCAGTTCCAGTAACAATACACACAGTGTTAACTAATTTACCAGGTAGCAAGTCATAAAGGGAGGGACTGTGCCCTTCTTATTCATCCATACAAGAACAACAGACTTCAGTGTTATTTATGTAAGGTCCAGAAAATAAAAATACAGGCAAAAATATGAGAATAAATTACAGCCTTTGAAAAAAAAAAAGTCTACAATTCATCAGAAACAAAGTCCCCAAGTGTTTGGATGCCGGAAAGAGAGGTGGCAAGAGGAATGCTCCTGTCATCCGTTTGCTTTCTGCATCTCTCTTTAGACCGCTCTAGAAGACATTTTATTCATGGCACCAGCTCTGGGGCACAAGTCATGTCTGTCTGTGTCAATCATGTGGATTCACGCTGTCTGATGCAAAATAGGGTGATGCATTAACTCTGCAACTGCAACGTGGGAGCAGGTAAAAGGAGACTTCAAGTCTTACAGCAGTTTTCTGAGAAGCAGAGAGACAAAGTGCTGAAGCAGAGAGGACTGGGGACAGACAGGGCAAGCCTTTTTGCTCACTCCCAGAGGGATGTGCCACAGACCACAGCCCAAGCACAGTTACCACCATACACTGCACTTTGTTAATCAGATACAATAAATGAGATATAGGATAAATCTCTGATGTATGAGAATGACATAAGGAGTTAAGCCACAGGACAGTCGGGTCCAGGATAGATGCGAATCAGAGGTTCAGCCCAAGTCACTTTTCTCAGGGACAGCGTTACGGGTGTGAACAGACAGGTAACAGCATCCCAGCACCACCCATGGTGCCTTTTGTTACAGCTTCCAGCAAACATGGAACAGAGAAGGACAATTCTGGGTCAGAAAAATTCATTCATTCAGAGCTTTCCTTGGGCTGTCCCTAGGACACTAAGGAGATACTTTCTTCAATATCTTATTCCAGCTCTCTTTCCCTAAATCAAGGCAGGTCGCTTCTTTCCTCCAGCAGGAGGTCTCCTCAACCAGCAGCCACCCTTTCCCCTCTCCCATGCACTGTCTGGAGACACCTCAGAGCAGCCACCAGATTTAAAAATCAATACAGTCCCTTAAGTAGCCACTCCACTTTTATGGGTTAGAGCCCTTTGGCACCTTGTTTTGAAGCCAGGAAAGGAAACAGATAAAAATCCCCTCTCAAAGATTATTTATTGCACCACAGACAAACAGGCCCCAGTTCTGATTCACTTGCCCTACAAAGTAGAAAACCTTTAAGCCTGAATTTGTCCCCATATGTTATTCAGATGCAATGGTTTACCATTACGAAGAGAGTAAGTGCCTTAAGAGAACAAGTCCCAATGAGTGATGGTTTCTAATAAATGCCATTTTATTTTTTCCTCAAGAGTATTTCTTGGAAAATACTTCACTTGTTTTGCTTCTAAGAAAAGTAATTTGCTAATGTTTTCCTGATCATAAAATTGATTTGACCTTCTACAAATAATCTGACAGCACGGCATGTTGCTGAGCTTTTTGAAGTGCATTAGGTTGTTCATACAGCAGGGCTTTCTCCTGTTTATTCTGTATGGCCTCCTTGTATAACGGATGGAAACATTTCTAAAGCTTTCATAAAAATAACTTCAAACAACCGATAAAAATTGAAATTCCAATGGAATATGTAATAACAAGATTCAACATGCATAGTGAGGAATAACTGGTTTTTGACCAGCTCTACTTCTAACGCTGTAGGTCTTGCAAACTATGGCCTCCCTCCTTCCCAGTGTAGATGGCTGCTATAGAGCTCATTACATTCAGGTTTTTAATTAGAGTTAGTGGCAATTCAGAGAAACACCATGATGTAATTTAAGAATGAGCTGTACAAGTTCACTTAGCTCATACTCTGTTAATTTGCCAGGCATGTATGGGATGATGAAGAAGCCATCAATCCTGATATGGGAAGAGGAACCAGACACATGCAGTGAGAAATGTGAGAGAAAAACACTTGAGAGAAAAAACTCCTCTAAATGGAAGAAGGTTTTCAAGGCTCCAGGTAGGAAACGCTTACTGCAGTCAAGTTCAATTGAATAGATTGTATTTCTCTGACAATGTCTAGGTGAGGGAGGGGGGCAATGTCTTTAAAATGTTTTAGCCAGTAAGTTCTTTTTCAAAACTTCAAAAACAAAGTTCTTGTTTGTGGCCACTCCTCACCAGGGTTGGTCATCAACAGCTTAAAACATGTCTTCAAAGAGGTTAGCTAATATTCCAGAAAGCTCTTGCTCTCCCAGGCTGGACTTGTAATTAAGCCTACGTGGGTAGTACAGAACCAATGTGTGCAGAACCAGCTCTGCAAAGCCCCCACTGCCCCAGGACCATCCAAGCTCCCTCATCCTGGCATGGAACAAAATAAAACCCCACAGGTCCCACCCACAAAATACAATTCAGTAGCCAACAGCACTGTGCCTTTAGCAGATGGCAGAAATTTTCTCCCTGCCTCACTCTTCACACAGAAGGTACTGCTGCATTAGCATTCACTGAAAGAGGTTTGTTGTCAGGGCTAGCTGTTTATCAGAAGGAAGACTTTCTGTTTAGAAATAACATGCTAATTAAAGCATGACTTTATTTATTTACACATCACATTTATTTATGGTTACTTATTTGCATTATAAAATTGTTTGCATTACAAACGATATTATTTAGTTTTAGTTGCATGCAAAATGTCCTCTGTGAGACCTATCACCATTTGAAGGGGTTCTTCAGGCTTGTAAGAACCTCGACCCTGCAGGTAGATGCTGGCCTCAGGGTGGTGATGACTCTGGCTTCAGACTCCCAGGGCACTTTCCTTTCTTAGTAGGGAGAAGAATAACCAAAAAACCCCAATAAAAATGGCTGTAAGAGCAGGCAGCTAAGCTCTCCTTCATGAAATAACAGAAAAAGTAGGTATCTTCTCCTTTCCCAGGTGATATGTATTATATGTGGAGTGTATCACAAAAAATAGGTAAATAACCAAGAAATCTGCCATCAAACTCCCTGAATCACCAGCTCTACCGTTAGTCCATAAGCCCCTGCAGACCCCAGCCAGCACTGGGGGGCTCCAGCATCCATGCCCCCCCGCTCACTGCTGGCTATCATCACTTAGCTGGCATCTGAGGGGTACAGTGCTCACCTGCACAGAGCAGGGGGAGCTCAGCTCAGGAGCCCCTTCCCCACAGCCCCTGTGCAAAGGGCACTGGCAGGAGTGGGGCAGGAGAGCAGCGCCTCTGGCTTGTTCGCTCTGAGAATCCAAAGCCCATAAAGGCTGTGCGAAGATGTCATTTGTTTTGTTGGGTTTTTTTGGACACGTTAATATTCTTCTTTTGTGATTGGGTTAGCGGTTGAAACAGCAGCACTTTTCTGTTTGCAGCCCTCTGTGTTGCAGTCCTCTTTTGCCCACTGAACTGCACCCTGACTTTCCTGAAGAAGAGAAGCCTGAAGCTCCTTGTGCCTCTGCTGAAATCCAAGAACTGAGAGGTGAGACAGCACACTCACAGCTTAGTGATGTGCACCTGACAGAGCTAACCAACATCTCCTGCAACGGTAGGTCTTTCCTCTGGTGGAAGGGTGACCGAGCTGGCAGGAAGAGGGCTGGGAAAGCCACCTGAGAGCAGCCACCTGCCCCTTCCAGCACTCTTGACCCCTAAAGGATCCTGTCTTTCTGCACCAACCTGGCCCCAAGGAGTCCAGCCTGGGGCACAGCCACACACAGGCAACCACCTGAGGGGCAAAAATAAACCAAACTTGGCTTGTGTTCTGCTAACTGGTATAAGCTGTCCTATACTATCTGAAACAGCTGTAAAACCACAGCTGTCAACACTGGCGCACGTTCATGTATACAGAAATCTCACATCATATCAAGTGATGTGACACAAATGGGCATTAAATAACTAACAAATACTGACACAAAACCTTTTGCAGGGTCTGTCAATGGCTTCAGTGGTGAGTGTTCGCCCAGAGCTCAGTTTTGCCCTGAAAGCACTGCCACCAAAATCACTGGGAGAACGAAAGGATGGGCTCTCCCAGCAAGAAGGCACGGGCAGTGCTTTAGAGCCTGCCACTATACAGGCAAATCTTCCTCTGAGCTCTGCTCCCAGAGCTGCAGTAGGTTTAGATCGGTAGCAAACACAAAACCAGCCAGCTTGGTCTCCAACACTGAGGCAGAGCATTAGCTGCTTTGTGGAATCCCACTGGAATTTAAGAGACATAGTAATTGCTTTTAAAGGGCAAAGCCAAAAATGTCCTGTGCCGTGCTCTTTCACCTCTCCCCCATTCCTGCATTCTCACTGCTGCAGACTGTGATAGCTCTTGAATTACATTTACTCTAGCACATGGCTAAGAGAACAACTGAACTCCCCAACATCCCTGCTTGAGACAAAGCACCCAGAGCCTGCTGTGATTCACTGACCCAGGCTTTAGGATGGAAGGGGCGAGAGGAGGTGTGTGTGAAGAGAGTAAAACAGAAAATGAGATGGATCTCCAGGTGCTCCCATTGGTTGGTCTAATATTTTCTTGCTTGTCCCTGGCTCTCCATCTAACACTGCCTTCAGGGGTCTAGTTCTCAGTAGCATCTTTGACCTTTCTGAGTTTTTGATCAGGGCCATAAAGCATGCTGTAGGTGCTGTGTTGAACTTAGAGGTGGAAATAAAGTCTGCTCCCATACTGCAATGTGTTGCCCAGCAGCTGCTGTAGCAGCAGTGATAGACTGCAGGCATGATGAGGGAAGGAATGCAGTAAAAATGGCAGTAGGAATGAAATCAGTGGAAATGATTGAACAGCACTGAAGAGCTAAAGCTCTCCTGATGTCTTTCAGCCAGGAAGGAAACCCAGAGAGCGCTACATGTTAAAACTGTCACGCCACAATGGAAAAATGCTACAGGAAGGAGCATATCTGGGATCAGAAGTGACAAACTCCTGGCAGGGGAGGATTACAAGTGGTGACTTCAAATGCAAGACAAGAAAAAAATTGTAGATGAAGACAGAAAGCACCTCCTGAACCACGAGGCAGGTCTCCAACTCCCTTGCAAGTCTCATCTATAAGGAACAGAACACAGAGACACTGAAACTTTGGGTTGTACAGTACAATGTACACACTGGGATATGCACAGAGGGAAAAAAAACCCAAACAGTTGAGGCAAAAGGAAATAAAGGAAGAACTCTGCTGGGAAGAAAAATGCTAGGGCTTGGTTTTCATAATCTAAAAGCCACAACTCAGAACTGTCTGACTGATGATAAGAGATGTCACCCACCCAGGGAGCTGGATCCAGAGAGGAAAAGGAAAGCTTTCAAAACAGCTTCTATAAGACATTAAGCCAGCTTAATATCAAGCCAGACTGAAAACAAACATTTTAATTCCAGAACATCAAAGCATTGGGAGAGAACATGTTAATTCCTGAATGAAAAGCTTGGGGTTTTAGTCTTTACATATTTGGCAAGTAACTAGTAATACGAATAATGCCAAACCCATATACTCTGCAGAATGTCCCAGGAAAGGTTTCCTTTAGCCAGAGCCCCATTTGGAGCCAGAGCTGTCAATTCCCTCAATGCCTAATCACATTCTGTGCACATAACCTTGTGGGATTTCAGCTGATAAACATCATTTTCTCCTCCCAACTATTGCAGGGGATGCATGTGAGCTGGCACATGGCTATTGCTTTCCCCCAAAGTGACCTTCACTCAAAGGATAACGTACACAGTTGTATTCATGGTCTGAAATTAGAGACATTATGTGAACAAGGCTCCTGAAGACTTCAGTGGAAGTTTTGCTTGCCCAAGAACTTGGGGATGGCCTACATTTGTTTATAAAGCTTTCTGGTCCATTGGGATACACAAAACAACTGTGTACAAGCATAAAATTATGACTGTGAGGCAATACCACCATAAGATAAATTATAATATAGCTGCACTTAAAAGGGCTTTTAATACAAATTAGCTGTATCAAACTAACACCAAAGTTATAGACAGCTGAAGCTGACTAAGGTATCTGAATGCCCAGTTGCTTTTGAGTAGAAACGAGGGACTTGAATGTTTCATAGCAGAAAAAAAAAAAAATAAAGTAACTTGCTCCTAAAGCCTACAAACCTCACGGAAAGATTTTGCCAACATCTTTTGGGACACATCCCCCCAACCATACAACCACTGAAGCCAGAGCCCAGCGTGCAGGTACTATTCACCTCCACAGCAAACGCTGGGAGATGTTTCAGACAGCCAGGGTCCCTGAGGTGAGAAATTTCCCTATATGTGTTTATTGTATTGTAGGAAAAACATTCAGGGGAGAAAAAGAGAGGAGAGGGGAGGAAAGTAATTTAATAACGATTAGTGTAATGGGATTTGCTATTCCTGATAATAGTTTAATCAATATAAACATTTACCGAACCCTCTTATGTGCTTGCCACAATCAAGTTGCTTTATATTTAGCTTAACACTCATAAGCCATGGTTATCATGATCTGGACCTCTACTACCCACTTAATTATGCAAAAAAACCCCAACACAATAACCAACAAAAAGCCAAGACTCTGATTTCCCACACCTAAAAACCCAGCCATGCACAAGTGACCTCCTCAACCACATGCCATGGTGTGTGTCCTGGTTGTGTTGGATACACCGGACACGGAGATGACGGGTCTCAGGATAGGTGTGACTTGCTCTATGAGACCAAGTTAATTGCAAAGGTGCTGTGTTCCATGGCATTATTCACATCAGACTCACAAATGGAGCCACAAGTGCTTCTCCCCTGCATGGAGACAGCCCAACACTTCTAAAGCTTTGCAGATCACACGCAGTTGAATCCCGCACTTCTCACACAGTCCTTCTTTGAAGGAACGACTTATTAGAGCCTCTGTTTTGTGAGTTCATTGATTAGATACTGAAGATATGTAAAAGATATAAAAGCATACATACATGGAGGGACAAAGTACAACTGGTGGCAGAGTGGGACAGCACCAGTCCCACAGAGGTCACTGCAGTGAGGTTGGTGATGCTACAGTGGCTTTGCTGGGTTTTGCCCTGGAGCAGTTGTATTTGCTATTTCATACTGCATGTCATTTATGATATATTATTGGTATCATACCACAGGACACAGCATATGTTCTAAGAGGCCACAGGCCTCTCTTACAATCCTTTGAATTTAGCTTGATTTTAGGCAGAGAAAGATTGCCTTAAGTTTTGCTTTCATCTCTCTAAATAGGTAGTGCTAAAAGCACGTAAAAACATCCTATTGGTGTACCAGTATAAAGCTATTTTAAAAGGCTTAAAAGTTGCTTTGAAATAAGCCGAGAGAATCTCCAAATTGACAGCTGCAAGGGGGAAAAAAAAAATCTACTAAAGGCAGATTTCCCTGCAGAACAGCCCTCCCCATTGCAGAGCTTGGAGGGCGGGGGGGGGGGCACTTTCCTCCATCCAAAAGCCTGTCCCCATGACCTCGTGACAGGGGAAGCTGTGCCATTTATAGATGCTACTCTGCGAGCAGACATGCGTTGCTGTAACAGTGAACGCCACAGGCAGCATCTGTCCAAGGAGCCCAAATACCATGCTCCAGAACACAAGAACTCCGAAACGCATAGTCACAAGATTAGTTTGCTTTAATGTGTCTAATTTATTTTGGCATTTCCTAGGGACAGAAAAAATAGCAGAAAACAACTACGGGCAGTGCTGTTGTATCATCTCTGAAGAGCATGAAAACGTACAACTTCAAGAAACGTGTCTTTTGGGTGGGGGGTTTTTTGATTTGTTTGTTTTTAATTCAAGAAGGAACAACCCACAACTTTCCATTGTGCCACTTGGACACACTTTGCACCGTGCAGTATCACAGGTCAACTCATGCCCAAGGCAAAACCTGAAATATGGTTTCCCATTAGAGCTTCGAGATTGCCACCACACATATTCAAACAGACACAACCACCGGTAACTCAGCAATACAGAAAAAGTTATATGCTTCTAACTAGAATTTAATAAGAACAATCCTATCCTCCCTAGGGCCACACCAGAGCAACAAACCTCAAACACTGATGAAAACCTTAAATATCCACTGCTATGGCTGCATCCTTGTATTTGGGGGAGAGGCCTCTGACCCCTTTGGCTCTTTTCCAACCAACACAAAAACTTGTCCCCCCTGTTTAATAGCCCGGTTAAACTATAGGAGCACTGCAGAGCATGGCACAGGGAAAAGAGGAGCTGAGGGTCTGGACTCCTAACCCAGTGTTCTGGGAGCTATTTATGCACCAGACAAGCTTTGGTTAACTCCACTGACCCATCATCTCAATATTTGAACTTGACCACCTCCATCAAGGCTTACATGCAAACCAGAACCTTTTCAAAGAGTTTGGACTTAAGAAACTGAAGTGAAGCTCATCAGATGTGGGTTATTCCACTAATTTGTCAGTTCCAATGAGGAGAATTAAATGGAACTGCTTCCTTGAGAATTTCTTTGTAAAGCGGGTCCAGAAGCTGCAAAAAAAGTCAGTTAGCTCTGTTCTTCCATATTTGTAGTAATCCTCTTTTTGAATGCAAGACTGCATTTTCTTAGTCAAAAGACTAACAAGTGCTCTATGATAGATAAATAAAGGCATGAAGCAAGAAGTAGCTTACTCAAAATGTCCTGGTAGATTTTAATATCTCTTTTCTTAAGCATAAACAAGTGACTAGATGAAGAGAATTCCCAATTCCTGTGGGTAACAGGAATGGAGCTTTCGAACAGAACACCATCACAACAATTACAGTATCTCATGTGAGGTAAAACACCACATACTGGTTTCCTACTTGCAAGTTTAATGGAGCTGTTATGTGCAGACAGCTGTAAGAAAAAAATTACCTTTGGGTAAAAATAAAAAGGGAGCTTGAGAATCCAGAAATCAACTACAGGGGGGAAAAAAAGAAAAGATGCAAAACATTAAGCAGACTCTATGAAGAAGTGTAGATAGAAGGAAGGAGAGCCCAAATGCTAGCAACACTAATAGCATTCGGTGGACCATTAAATGCTGAAAATATCTGTATAGTTAACTTCCCTGCAGTATATGAGGCTGTCATCTTCTGCTGTTTGGAGAGCTGTATGAAGCCTGCTCTGCGTTACTTCTATCAGCCTCTCAAACCACCATCATTTAGGGGCTGATGCAAAGTGGGATGAAATCAACAACTTTTAGCTAACACAAACAAGTGAGTTTCAAGTTAGATACTGTAATTTATTCATTGCTTTGTGCACTCTCCTACCCTGCTCCTCTCTGTGCTTACACATTTAATATTTCTCAGTGCCAAAGTGGAAAACCTCTGTTTATCTATAGCTGAAAAGAGAAGATTCTCTTTCCATCAATACCAGATTATTGGCACTGATTTAGTTAAATTATTCTGGATTTATGCTGTTAGATTAGTGTAAATTAACCCAAGCAGAATCAGAGGTCTAGAATGGATTTCCAGAGGTCATTCAGTCCATCCACCTGCACAAGGAAGAGTTGTATAGGCCATTCCTGACAGACAGAGGTCTGGCTATTTTCAAAGTGTCAGAGACCCACCTCTTCCAGGGAATCTGCTCCAGTCCTTCACACTCCCTTAGTATCAGATTAATTACTAAAGTGCCTTAATTATCCCTTGAAGTAGTTTAGCCCACAGCTTCTTGTCTTAACTGCCAGGGTGAGGAAGACCAAATCATTCCCCTTTTGCTTTGCAGCTGCTGACAATACTTTGGAAGACATTTAGTCTTCTCCTCAGTCTCCATCTCCTGAGGATGAAAACCCCTCAATCTTTCCTGGCAGATCAAGTCTTCTAGACCCTTGATCAGTCTTACCATTCTCTTTGTCATACTCAGCTCAGCCTTGAAGGACGCTGGCCAGGAGCAAGCGCTGTGCTCCTGCTTGCTGGCACGGAGCTGACTGCAAGGATTATGGCACTTGCCACAGTGGCAACAGTCTTGCTCGTACACTTGATGTGCCTTTTCTGCACCTGCATGGCACTGCTTAGTCACAATCACCTTGTAAGCCATCGAAATCTTTCATCCTTACTGATAAATCAACTATGAATTTAGTTGTTGTTCCCCAACCTGTTATAACTATATAATAACCTATATTAAGAGTTTATTGCAAAACATAAATCTATATTCAGCAGAGGGACGATGCACTGTCCCAGCTGAATGGCAAGCTGGTTTTACTGCATCTCTAGCTTTCAAAGACCATACTGAATTCTAATCCTGCCCAGTGTGCTCACAGACTCTTCTATCAGCTGAAAATTTATTCTCTGTACTCTCCCTTCTATCAGCCAGATCACCTATGGAAACAAAAGACACGTACACAAAACTGCCCCCTTAAAACATCCCTCAAAAACATCACTCTATCAGTTTTCCAAGCAGTTTTGCACCCAAGTATTTTCGTCCATGCCATCCTTCTAGGAGCGCATGTGAAACAGCTCCAAAATTCAAACCAATCTCAGGGTGGTACCCTATTTTAGTGGGAAATTAGACTGGTTTGAATCTCTTGCATCTTGAAAAATGCGACAGCTGCCCGTTACTCATCCCCTTGTTTTCTTTGAGGTGCTCACAAATATTTTGTTTGGTTATTTGTTCCAGTGTTTTTCCAGGAACTGAATCTAAGCTGACAGGTCTATAATTCTAGACCTGCTTGTTAGCACCACTTTTGTACCGATGAGCTCAAACCTGCACACAGTACTCCTGGGCTCTGCTCCAACAGACCACTTTAGCACATATTTAATTGCAAGAGTGAGAAACATCTGTGGCTTTAGAGGAGATGAGTCACATGCTTAATGTTACGCATGTGCTTGGATGGTTTTCTAGTTCCTAAGAATGGATACATTAAAAAAAAAAAACAACAAAACAACACAAACCCAACAATATACCAAAATGAAACAAAACAAAGATGTGCATTTATACAATAGTTATGACTTTAAGAATGCAAATCCCAACAAATATTACATATTGATCTCTATGGATTAGTGAAAAGCAGGAACCATTCTGTTGCCCTGTGATCATCTCCACTATGATGTCTTCTTTTGCTATTGTGCTGCATTATTATTTAGTTTTGTAAGACCTTTCTCAAGTCTCCCTTATCTTAATACCGATTACATTTTGCCTACAGCAAGTTTTTCAGCCTTACTAGTCCTTTCTTCTAAGCAGATAATTAATTGATTAGATGTCACTTAGTCTGTCATGAACCACTATTGACACCTCTCGTAGCAGCTTTTTGAGCATTTCAAGTATATTTTTATGCTTTTGAAAGACACTGATAGCTCCAGAGAGCTAGACTGATCTCACTCCTAGGT